CCAGGAGCCCAGACCGCTCTCTGGGGCTCCCGTGTGGGTGGCGGGACCGGCCCTGGGCTGGATGCCTGAGAGGAGGCTGGGTCGAGAGGGAGGAACCGGAACCGCAGGCGCCGCCACACCCACCGCCCCGCAGAACTTCAGTCCCAAGTGGATTCCTGCTTCAGACTCCGCCCACAGGCGTTCTCTCCCGGGTCCTCGCCCCTGTGAGGCGCCTGTGAGAAGGCTGGTAAGCTGACGGTCATGTGAGAACGTGTAGTCTGCCACTGGGGAGTGCAGCCGCCCCAGGACTGCCGTCAGAAGTGAAGGAAGTAGAGGTCGTGGGAGAATTTTCCGAGAAAAAACAGCAGCGTGGTCTGTGCTCGCCGTCCCTGTAGTTGGTCAGCGGCGTCGAGTGAGGCTGGACTGGAAGCCGCTCGGCGCTGACGGCGCTGTGGGGACGAGCGCGCGAGCGTGTGCGGGCCCCTGGCAGGGCCGTCAAGCCACCATCTGGGCAGAGGCCGCCCTGTGTGTCCCCTGGGTCGGCCTGCCCTGATTTCCGGTCCTCTCCCTGGCCCACCCCCCCCCCCGTCTCCCCACACATGCACCCACCTGGTCCTCCGCCCAGCCACGCATCTGCTCTTCCATCATCCACCAATCGCCCGCTCACCCACCCGTGCAGCCAGCCACCCGCCCATCCATGCCTCCATCCTCACCCTCAGTGTGTCTCCTCCTCTGTTCCTTGTGTCTCCTCATCCCCCACAGCCTCACTCTGACCTCACTCAGGCGGCCAGGCAGGCGGCCAGGGAGCCGGCACGCACACCACCTTGCCGCTCTCACGACAGCGCCGCCAGCAGCGGTCGGCGGAGCTCGCTCTGCTCTCAGGGTTTTCCTAGTGGACACAGCGTGGACGCTGGGCAGGCCTCTGGGGCCACGTCAGGCCCCCTCCTCCAGTCGTGCCACCGTGGGGCAGAGCGAGAGACCTCTGATTCGGCTCCTGTTCGGTGGCACGCTGTGAGCCCACGGGTGATCACGGGATTTGATCAACTCGCAGTCGGAAGTCACTAGAAGCCGTGTTTGCTCAGTGCTGGGGCGGGAGCCCTTTGCCCTCGCGCCCCAGGGCCTGGATGGGGGCCCAGGCACCATTCACCCTTTACTTCCCCAGCTGCATGCTTGGGCCAGGTCCTGAGAAAGCCTCCACAGGTTCTCTCTGCACCCGGGTCTTCCCGTCCACGCTGCCTGGCTCCGTGTGTGACTACATGACGAGGCTGCCCCGTGGTGATGTGGAAGCCCCAGGCCTGGGGCCGTGGCCGTGTCTTACCCCAGGGTCCCCACGCCTGCAGTGGCAGCTCCCACAGAGGGCACGTGCTGGCAGCAGGGAGGGAGTCATACACTGCCTTGCTGCCCTGGTTCCGGCGACCTTGGGGACAGGAGCAGGCCCCTCTCTCCCAAGGTGCTTCTGTTTCTGGAAAAAGCCTCTGTGTTGATAAGACAGCATTGCTACTTCCCGGGGGTAATTTCCTCCTCTCCTGTTTCTACTTTTAGCTTAGAAACTTGGGAAGGAAGCAAGCTCTCCTCTGTACAAAAAGAAAAAAAAGTAGCCCGACAGAAATGATGCCAACACCTGCTATGCAATATCATTAATAAATTACTAGAATAGCGCAGCATCTTAAACGCTCATCGGCTCCAAGCCGTTTGCAAGGAGCTGAGCTTTTCTGGGCTGGGTGCCAGTGAGCGCGGGCCCCTGGTGCGCGTGGGTGGGCAGGGGTGGCTGCAGACTAGGGGTCCTTGTTGGGGAAGTGACGGGCTGCCTTCCATAGCTGCACTCCTGCTCCCCCAGAATGAATGAAAATGCAGCAAGACTCGGGATATTTTTCTGTAGGACAATTACATTTTGACATTTTAATGCAAAAAGTAACGTTTAATGTAGTAGGATGTCAGCTGCATGTCTTAAAATGTAGACAACCGTGGTTTCCTGGGAGACCGAAGGGCCAGCACCCCTGCCCCGGCACTGCTGCTCTCAAAGAAGCGTCGCTGGAGGAATGCGACTCGCTGTGCTTGGGACCCCGGGAGGCGTGGGACCAGTCGTCACCTCTGTCACCGGGCATCCCCACGACGCCTGGCCCCACGTCAGCCCCGCGGCTGAAGGGACTCGCCGCAGAACCAGAGCCAGTGCGTTTGGAAGGCTCCACACCATCTTGAACGTGCGTCAGTCAGTGCCCCCCCCAGGAGACCCCCCTTTCCAGCTGCACTGAAAAGAGTCTGCGAGTCTGCAGCTGAATCCCCGTCTTCAGCTAGCAGCGCCCACTACTAGTATCCAGAGCAGACAGTGTGGGGCTCCCAGTTGACAGTGACAGCACCCACTGTGTCCCAGCCCCCCCAGGAGGCTCACACACACACACTCTGCCTCCACACCGAGCCCTGGGAGCAGGTGCAGGTAACCCTTTGTTTGATTGTGTGGTTTGCTAGCCGCTGACGTGACAAGCATGGCGGCCGTTGTGTTCCTCTGGACAGAGCTGTGTGGGCCCCTCGCACCTCTCCTCTCAGTGAGGGGGAGGCATGGAGCTCACCCTGCAGGTCTCCAGAGAAGTCTTCCACCAGCGGCCACCTGCTCCTCCCCGTCTCGCTGGCCTGATGTCTGGAGCTGGGACTTGTGGGCATGAGGCCTGCAGAATTGCTTTGTCCACCATATTTGTGCCTTCAGTTGGTGCACAGCAAAGCATTATCTAAACGGCTGTGGGTCTCCCACCTTGGAAACAGCTGCTCACTGGTCTGGCCCTCCCACGGGGGTGCACTCCCCCCAGCACGTCACCCAGGCACCTGTGGATTGACTGCTTGACCCCACAGTCTGTGTCCACCTACTAGCAGTCACTACAGCATTGTGGGTCCTGGACCAAGAGTGCAGAAAGGGTGTAAACACCTCCATGAGCCAACAGTACCCCCCAGTCTGCCCGCGCCTCTGGTTGGCAGGAGCCTGGACCCCCAGAGGTCGCTTGGCAGTGTCTGGAGACATGCATGGTTGTCCCAGCTGCACTGAGATCCCTGCTTGCCCCATGGACGTGGAAGGAATGACCCAGCCAGGTGAGGACACGCCTCTCCCCTGAGGGAAGGAGCCGCCGGATGTCACAGTGCCATGGCTGGGAAGCAGAGCCGCCGTGAGGACCAGGGCACTCATCCAAGAAGACCGTGCCCTCCTGCGTTCTCAGGAGAGCATCCACTTCCCAGGCAGGAAGCCCCGCGTCTTCCTCTCCCACAGCTGCTAAGACGCGTTTAGCAGGGAAAGCTGAGCACTCACTCGGGAGGCAGATCTGGAACAGGCTGTGCCGAGCGCCACACCTGGTTGCAGAGCCCCGCGGGTCAGGACAGGAAGTGCCCCGCCTTTCCTAGAGGCTTTGCCCACCCTCTCATCCCACTGTGCTCCCTCGTTGTGTCTCCCCATCACCTTCCAGCAGAACCCCAGTGCCTCCCTTAAGGGCTGTGGGCAGCACTGGAGGGGGTGGTGGCAGCTACAGACCACCACTGTCAACCTTGGCTGCACAGGGCAGGCACCAGACAGAGCACAGCCACTGTTTAACAGATCCCAAGGAGCAGAAGCCGGACAGCTACTTCCCTCAGCTCACAGTGAGTGAAACAAATCCACAGACGACACTTAGCTGGAAACCCCCCCACTGCACACGTGGCGGGGATCAAACAACATACTTTAAAATAGTGTCTGGGTCAAAGAAGCAACTTGGGGAGAAATTTTAAAATATCCTGAACTAAAATGAAATGTCAAAATATCAAAATGAAATACTAAATTATCAAAGTGTGTGGGGTGCTTCTAAGTGCTGCATGGACAGAAATCTAGAGCACCAAGTGCACACCTCAGATAAGAAGGGAGATCAGAATCAAGGATCTAAGTCTCCAACTTAGGAAACCAGGGGAAGAGGAGCAAATTAAATACAAAGCCGAAGAAAATAATTAATGAAAATTAGAGCTTAAATCAATTAAATTAAAACTAGGAAATCAACAAACCTGAAAGCTAAGTCCTTGAGAAGATCAATAAAGTTGGTGAGTCTCGGGCTAGGGTTCTAAATCCAAGGATGGGGCCAGCTCTGTGGCACAGCAGGTTAAGCCACCATCTGCAGTGCTGGCATCCCATGTGGGTGCTGATTCAAGTCCCAGCTGCTCCACTTCTGATGCAGCTCCCCGCTAATGGCCTGAGAAAGCAGCAGACAATGGTCCAAGTGCTTGAGCCCTTCACCAGTGTGGGAAACCTGGAAGAAGCTCCTGGGATCAGCAGATGGAAGATCTCTCTCTCTCTCTCTCTCTCTCTCTCTCTCTCTCCCTCCCTCCCCCCCCTCCCTTTCAAATAAATAAATCTTAAAATATTTTAAAGGGAAAGAAATCAGAGGACACACATTGCTCACATCAGAATGAAGTACGGAGCATCACTACAGACCCCAAGGGTACCGACGTGATGGTGAGGAAGGCTGGGACAGCCCTGTGCCCATTGGTGGGACAGTTGTGTGGTGGGACAACTGTGTGGTAAGACAGCCATGTGGTGGGACAGCCCCGTGCCCAGTGGTGGGACAGTCGTGTGATGGGACAACTGTGTGTTAGGACAGCAGTGAGATGGGACAGCCCTGTGCCCAGCAGTGGGACTGCCATGTCATGGGACAGCCGTGTGGTGGGACAGCCTCGTGGGGCGGTCTCATCCCTGGAGAGGAGAACTGCAGCAGCCCACACATCTGAGTCCTAGACGAGCTGACTCCTGAATGAATGTTTAACAATCTCTCAAAACACAGCCAGCTGGCTCTCCAGTGACTCCTAGCAAACGTGAGGAAGAAGTCACACCCATTTTCTATAATATCTTTTAAAGAATGCAAACATTTGATGAGACTTGGATGACCTCAGTACCAAAACTAAAGACATTACCAGAAAAGAGAATTACAGAGGAATATCTCTCCTGAACACAGAAGCAAAAATCTCCAACAAAATGTTAGCAAAGCTAATCCAATAATATATAAAAAGGATTACACGCCATGACCAAATGGGATTTACCCCAGGTATGCTAGGCCAGTTCAATATTTGAAAAATCAATTAATGTGATGCATTGCATCGGCCGACAAAAAAAAAAAAGAAAAAGAAAAGAAAAATCACATAAGCATAGCAATGCGTGAAGAAAAAGCACTTAGCAAGAATCCTACACCCATTCATGATAAAAATCTTCAGTAAACTCAGAATACAGGGGAATTTTCTCAACTTAATAGAAGCAATCTACAAAAAGCCTACAGCTCACATACTGATTAAAGGTGAGTGACCAGAACATTCCCAGGAAGACCAGGAAACACCACCACCTCTGCACCGGCCCTGGGGTCCTAGATGCCATGAGACCAGCCAGGAAGTGGAAGGCACACAGCCATCTTTACGTCTTTATCCGCAGGTGACATGAGCACCTATTCAGAGAGTGTGAAAGAATAAGAAAAAAAAAAAGCTTGAAACTAATAAATCATTGTAGAAACTTGCAGCATCCAAGGTTGATATCGCCATCAATTGCTTTCCTATTTTTAGCAGTGAACAGGTGGAATTTTGAAATTAAAACCACAATACCGTTGACTTTATTTACCCCTTAAAAATGAAATACTTAGGAAACAACCCAACAAAATATTACACGTTTATATAAGGAGAACTACAAACTCTGTTAAAGAAACCAAAGGACTCTTAAATGAAGACACAGTCCACGTTTATAGCTGGGATTCATGTTGCCATCCTGTGGGTTCTTCCCAGCTTGGTCCCCAGACCCAGTGCACCCCAGCCGGCACCCAGAGGCGCTGCTCATGGGTGCTGAGACGTGTATTCATATGGAGAAGAAAAGGATCCGGAGCAGCCAGTAAACTAAAGACGTAAAACGAGGGAGCATTGACACCATCCAACCTCAAGACTCCTAGAGGGGCCCAGGGAGCAAGATGGCAGACAGACAGGTCACAGACAGGGAGCCACGACCTCTGACCCAGGGGCAGGGGTAGCCTAATCAGCACACAGAGAGAAGAACTAAGCATTCTCACACTGGGGAGGAGATGCAGCTACCCCTCACCTTCCACAAAAGCTTCCATGGAGCTGATCGTGACACGTGGCACTCAAAAACCACAGGGGCAGTGAGAATCAACACTCAGACAGGAACAGCCATGGGCGAAGAGATGGAGACCCCGGGCTCACACACTGATGGTGAGAGGGTGAAACGCGTGGCCACTTTGCTCCCCAAGATGTCAAAGGCAGGTTCCGTGTGACTCAGCAGTGACTCAGCAGTTCTGCTCCATGCACCCGAGAGAAACCAACACAGGCACAGTCATCCACAGCAATGCTGTTTACACGGAACCCAAAGAGGAGCTGAGGCTGTCGCCCACCCAGCAGTGGACACATGCTCGTGCCGGGACAGAGCCGGTGGCTCCCACTCTGGGAGCACAGGCTCTCCCTGCGGTGCACACCTTCTAGGGGCTCGGAGGCAGGGCCAGCCACCTGGTCCTCATTCCTTGCCCCCTGCCGTCCACTGCATCGACCTCCACTCATCCCCTCATCTGACAGCACAATCTCTGTTTTTCGCTGTGCGTAGCAAGCTCTGTGTGATGGATGAGTCTGGGACAGGACAGTCCTGTTCCCTCCCAACTCTGCTGAGGATGGGGTGGTGAGCACAGTGCAGGGAGCTCCCAGACCCAGACGCTCTGTCAGTGGGGGGAGGTCCAGTGGCTGCTCCTGGGGACCCCCCGCCATCTGTCTGCCTTCACAGGAATGCTTCTCAAACTCTTCTTGGTACAGCACTCACAGCCAGGACATGGGGCGGGGGACACAAAGACTTGGAATCCAGATCACCAGGCTCCACACCTGGAGGTCCTGGTCCCACTGGCTTGGGCCAGTACCCACCAGTGTGCGGCTCTGAGTGGTCTCAGCCGCCTCACCACAGTGGTGTGGGTCTCAGGCCTGGGGAAGAAGGCTTCACTGCCATCCCTGGTCTCTGCTCAGTGGCCAGCTCCCCTGCTCGACCCCCAGTCCTGAAGACTCCCAGCCATCTGCTGCCTCAGTGGCACCTACCAGCTTCCCCGTTTGGTGGCATTATCCGGAACCAGAACGCCAGGCAGGAGGAGCCCAAAGGGCAGTGCTCTTGGCTGGGGCAGGCATTGAGGCTGCAAGAACAAGGGCCGGGGCCCCTCCCCCCACTGTGGGCCTTGCAGGGCTGGACAGGCCAAGGAGAGGAGTCCTCAATCCAGGCGGGAGGCGGGCTGAGTGGCGCTTCCTGGAAGCCCTTGGCTGAGTCCCAGCTCTCACAATGCCAGGGCCGAGGACAGGCGGAGCCGGGACACCTGCCAGCCAGCTGCAGCAGGAGGCGGAGCAGCTGCAGCGCGGGCACCTTGCCTACAGCCCAGCCCCCAGCTGCCTTCTCAGGTCTCGGCCCAGGTAGGACCAAGGCCTGATCCTCTGACCACGTGGGCCGCCGGATGGCGGGGCTGGGGTATCCAATGGCAGCAGGGGGGCAGTCAAGTCATAGACGTGAGGTGTCCTCCTTGGGGAAGCCACAGCAGGACCCCCAAAGGGGGCTCCAGGCCAAAAGCAGACCTGGCCCCAGCACCTAAGTGACTTCAGCACCTCTGCCTGGGACAGCTCCCAGGAATGTGGAGAAAGGATTCCCGCGCTCCCTGAGGAAGGGAGGGGCCCCCGGGCTGGAGTGGGCTCTCGGCAAGGTCAGCTGAGTCTGCCCTCGAATCTCAAGATGGAAAAAAAAATCGTGGTTATTTCCGCCGCCGTGGGTTAACCTGTTGTCCCAATTTCCATGCCAAAGCGCGGCGTAATAAGTAGCAATGAAATCAGCTCATCGTGCATTTGTTTTTCCCCAGCAAGGCACAATCAATTACCTGAGAGGTGTCCGCGGCCGCGGCTAAACGGTGACCCAGCGAGGTGCAATCGGCGAAGTGTCACTTTTATTCATGGCTTCAAACCCGGGGGTGGGCTTGTCTGCGTTTTAATTATCGGAAAGCGCTCACCACCCTTGCTTTAATGAATTACATAAAGTGCAAGCAGCACAATTATGTATTTTATAAATAAAGCCGGGGCCGGGGTCGAGGGAGCCGCGGGCACCAGCACAGCCCTGCTTGCTTTCCCCCACCCCTCCGGCCCCCTCGCTGGCATCCCCTGTTTTCTCGAGACCCTCACAGCCCTGGCTTGCTTTCCCCCAGCCTGAGGGCCGTGGAGGTTTGGTTACGAGGTGGCCATTCCTGCTGTCACCCTAGGATGGCAGGGAGCTCTGGATCAAGGGCTGTCCGGGCATACCGCTGTGGCAGAGCTGGCTCCGAGTCCACTCTGCTGTGGGGGCTGCACTGCCCTTCCTGCACCCCTGCTCTTAGGGCTCTCCCCCGCCTACCTGTCTCTCTCCTCCACCTATCTCACTCCTCTACCTGTCTCACTCCTCCGCCTGTCTCACTGCTCCACCTGCCTGTCTCACTCCTCCGCCTGTCTCTCTCCTCCACCTGTCTCTCTCCTCCGCCTGTCTCACTCCTCCACCTGTCTGCCTGTCTCACTGCTCCACCTGCCTGTCTCACTCCTCCACCTGCCTCACTCCTCCGCCTTGTCTCACTCCTCCACCTGTCTCTCTCCTCCACCTGTCTCTCTCCTCCACCTGTCTCACTCCTCCACCTGTCTGCCTGTCTCACTGCTCCACCTGCCTGTCTCACTCCTCCACCTGCCTCACTCCTCCGCCTTGTCTCACTCCTCCGCCTGTCTCTCTCCTCCGCCTGTCTCACGCCTCCGCCTCTCTCCTCCACCTGTCTGCCTGTCTCACTCCACCTGTCTCTCTCCTCCACCTGTCTCACTCCTCCTCCTGTCTCACTCTTCTGCCTGTCTGCCTGTCTCACTCCTCTGCCTGCCTATCTCACTCCTCCACCTGTCTGTCTCACTCCTCCGCCTGTCTCTGCTCCACCTGTCTGCCTGTCTTACTCCTCTGCCTGCCTGTCTCACTCCTCCACCTGTCTGTTTCATTCCCCTGCCTGTCCGCCTGTCTAACTTCTCTGCCTGTCTCACTCCTCCACCTGTCTGCCTATCTCACTGCTCCACCTGCCTGTCTCACTCCTCCACCTGCCTCACCCCTCCACCTGTCTCTCTCCTCCGCCTGTCTCACTCCTCCGCCTGTCTGCCTGTCTCCTCCACCTGTCTCACTCCTCTGCCTGTCTCACTCCTCTGCTTGCCTGTCTCACTGCTCCACCTGTCTGTTTCACTCCTCCACCTATCTCCTCCACCTGTCTGTCTGTCTCACCCCTCCTCCTGTCTCATTCCTGCACCTGCCTCTCTCACTGTGCCTGCCAGGGCCACAGGGAGGAGGGGCTCCTAGGGGCCGAGGGAGGCACCGAGTGGCTCCTCCTGGGCCTCTCCCTCCTGGGGGCACCAGAAAGCCTTTTGCATGGACTCCTGAGTGCCACCCACAGATGTTTAAGTCAGCAGCGAGAAGGTGTGAACAATGATTTCACTCACTAAGAACCAGCACACACGGGGCTGACTTGAGCCCACTCGCACCATCTCTCCCTCCGTTCGCCTCCTGCATACCTTGGCAACCCAGCCTCAGCCTAAGTGCACATCCCTCACCTGAGCTCAGCTCTGCAGAATTCTGGGTAGACAGGGGTGGTCCATGGAGGAAGCCACAGCCAGGGCCCAGCTTGGGGCCAGGGGAGGAAGGGGTACCCATTGGCAGGTGGGGGCCCTCTGTGTGCAGGGGGAGCTGGCTGCCCCTCGGGCAGGAGGTGCAGCAGGTGCAGGCCTGGCGCGGCCAGACTCTGGGCAGGGCCTCGGGGTCCAGCGTCCACTGTTCTCACGAATCTCGGTGGTGACAGCAGAGGGGCCGGGAACAGAAGGTCTGCGCCCTGGGAGACCTCCACAGGCGGGCAGCTGGGGACGGCATTACTGCCTGCCCAGGGCCTTTCTGCATCTCTGTCCACTTGCACTGCAGCTTCCCGGGCCACAGCTCAGCCCGAGCCATGCCCAAGCACCAGCTGCTCTCCCGTGAGGTGGAGGTGGAGCTGTCAGGGCCCCAACACGAATTCCTCCAGGGCGGGGAGAAGGGACTGGGGGAGGGAGAGGGGCAGAGGCTGGACAGGTGGAGGGGACAGAGACGGAGAGAGATGGAGACAAAATGAGAGGGAGACAGGGGCACGCAGAGATATAGGAGGAGACCCACAGAGACACACGGACAGGAGAGGAATGCCTGGAACTAAGGCACCCACAACAGTGGGACAGGCTCACCCCTGGCCCCGGTGGCCCCGTGGCTCTGTAGGGCGCAGTGCATGAGGAGTGATGAGGGTGCCCATGGCACCCCCGCTCCTCCAGCCATGGTCTCAGCGCTCTGTCTGCCTGAACTCAAATCTCCACCTCCTGAGATTCCCCGGGAGGCAGAAGGTCTTGGGCCGCCCTGTCCTCGGCAGTCAGCCAGGCATGGCGGGGACTGGAGGCAGGCCCATGGCCAGGAGCCATGGGCAGGGAAGTGCCGAGCAGAGCGAGACCCCCAGGCCACAGGGTGGAAAGCCCAGTGGGGAGCCCACAGGACAGGCGGGAGCAAGCAGGTGGCCGGTACCAGAGAGAGGACGTGTGAGGACTGAGGGCCCAGCAGAAAGGAGAACAGGAGGAGGGAGTGCAAACCCTGGAGGAGCCAGCAGGGGGCGACAGGCAGGACCACTGCAGGGACCAGATCCCCGCTGGAGGTCACCTCCCAGAGGGCCCAGGAGGGCAGGGGGCTCCAGGAAGGCACTGTAATGGGCGCGTTACACAGATGGCCGGGTCCTCTCCGGGTGCCACTCAGGGAGAAAGGGGTGGGGGCGCCCGTTCTCCCGCCAGGAGTCAGAATCAATGGGCACTGAGACGTCACTGCTGGCGGGAGGGGCAGCCCCAGGGAGTAGACTGATGTCCCTGGGTCCCTCAGGTGGCCTGCCACTAGGGGGTGCTGTGCCCATGGCCACGTTCCGGGCAGCAAATGAGACCATCCGTGCACAAAGCGACTTCATGGACTTCCTGCCGCAGAAACAAGCTATGGACCCACAGCGTGGGCCCGGGGTCACCGCCAAGCCGTTGCTGGGCCGGAGCCGAGGGCCAGGAGGTCACCTGAAGGAGCGCCAGCCTTCTCCGGGGCCGGCTCACTCACTGTGGCTCCCAGCACCCCGTGTCTCAGCGGGGCCGACTGCAGGGGGCAGGGCTCCTCCCACCACGGGTGACCTGGTGGCCACCAAGCAGGTGCCGCCCAGGTGTGCACACCCCATGGCAGCCTGCTCTCGGCATGCCCCTGCACCTGCCATCCCCACAGATCTGCCCACGGCCTCACCACAGCCCCGGCTCCCCTCCGACCCCCCTGCAGCAGCAGGGGGGGCCGGGACCCCCAGCACATGTCCCAGGCCAGAGCATGGAGCAGGTGTCGGGGGGAAGACACGTCCCTGGGTGCACCTGCCTGGCTGGGGTGGGTCGGACAGCCCCCTCGGTACCTTCCCCTGTGTCCTCCTCCAAGTGAAAGAGCTTGGCCCCCCTTCCAGGCCCTGTGTGACATCCTGGGACACGTCAGGCCTGGGGCGCACCCTCGCATCCGTGCCATGGAACAGGTGGCATCATGGAGGCCCCCAGCCAGAGGTGACACAGTCCAGCCCACCAGAACCCATCCAGGGTGCTGCAGGCGGGAGCCAGGGAAGCTGGAACTGCCCCAAGCCCCTGCTGATCACCCCCGGGGGGCGCCTGCAGGTGCAGCTCACATGGCCCGACCCTTGGCTGGAGCAAAGCCCTTGGCGCTGCCACCTGACCGGTCGCCTGGACAGCAGCCTAGGGGGCTGGGGCTTGGGTCGCTGCTGCGCGTGTGCTGTCCCAGGCCTTCTCTGAAGACTCACGCAGTCTTGGCACTAACGAGGAGCCAGAGAGGCGAGGGGTCAGCCCTGGCGCCTTCGTCCACAAGGAGGCTCCAGAGAGTTGGATGGCAGGCGTGGACGTCTTGCATTCCAGGGGTGGACAGGGCCCCGGTCAGTGGGAACCCCACCGGTCCTGGGGGTGTCAGTCGGTAGCACCCTGGGATCTGAGCGGCCCAGCCCATGTGCGTCCCTTAGCGGATGGCGCCGCATCCGTCAACCACAGGACCAAGAGGCTGCCTCAGCCCTGCCCTCCCAGACCAAACCCCGGCCTTCAGCCCTTTGTTAGAACGGCGCCTCCGGACTTCCTGCCGGGACCCCGATGGCTCCAGGCCCCGTGGGGCCACCCCCAGTGACAGGTGACCGCGGGCTCTGTCACCGGGCAGCTTGCTCACGGCCGGGGGGTGGGGGGGTGCGTGAATTCCAGGTCTTGCCCTGGCGCCGTTTAGCTCCGTGACGCGGTCTCTGCAGCTGGCTCCTCCCGCGATCCACAGACGGAGCATTCGCGGGATTCTGCCCGGCCAAGGGCTCCCCGTCTTCCCCGAGGAGCCCCGGCAGAATTCCCAGGTGTTTGCGTCACAACTCTGCACACCAGGGCCTGGGTTCAAATCCCACCTCCACTCCAGCTTCCTGTGACCTGGACCGAGCTCGGGGCCCCGGCCCAGCCGCAGCCGCCTCCCTGCACCTGGGGCGAGGGCCAGTGGAGGGCTGGCTGCACCCCACCTCTGCCACACAGCTAAAGAACAAAACCTCGGCGTTCGTTACAGGAACGGCTTTGCCTGTGAGAGAACTGTCTCCTCTCCTCTGATGCAGGGCTGCCGGCTCCGAGTGCCGAACTTTTGGGACAGCGACCTAGGATTTGCTTCTGGCTTTTACCTCCTGGCCTGGGGGGCCACCAGAGCCGCCAGGTCCCTGCTGGACCTCACTAGGGGTTCTGGGCAGTGAGGGAGTCGTCTGTCCTCCTGGGGCTGGGGGTGGGCAGGAGGGTTCACACGGGCGGCCAGGGCACGCGTCCCCAGATGAGCCCATTTTTTACAGCCAAGATTTCTTGCCTTGGGTCCCGAAATAGCCGTGTGCCGGTCACTGCTTCCGCATTAACGTTCTCGTCTGGATTCAATTACAGGGCCGGACACGGCGCCGAGGCTGATGGCCTGCGAGCGTAATTGAACAGGGCTCTGCCCCGCGCGGTCCATATTTAGGAACAAAATTAAGTAAAAAGCCGTGAGTGCCACCCGTCTCTCCCTTCATTCTTCACGCTGGGCGCGGAGATAAGGCCTGGGGGATGAAGGGGCGCCGGCTGCCGAGCTCCAACTCCTGGGCACACCGGGGGG